CAGTTCTCTCGCCAAACTCGCGCCTCCACACGAAATTGGGTGACACGGTTGAGATTATGGCCAGCGGATAGAGTAAGATAAACCGGTGCCTGTATTTATTGCATCCACGAAAAGCCGCGTTTTCCGTGCGCGAGCCCTAAACCAGCAGGGGATTTCTGATAAAAGTAAGGCTGCAAGAGCCGTCATCCCTCACGCTCGGCGGCCGGCTTGCTCAGCAATCCCAGCGCGCCGAGGAGGCTCTGCTTTGCCGTGGGAGATGCTCGTGAGCCGGGGCCCTAGTCGAGCAGCAGCAGTGAGCGTATCCCAGACCGTCTTCGTGCAGGTCTTTCGTAAGGTAGTGACTGGGTGCGGGCCGCCGAGGGCTCGTGGGAAGCATGCGCTTCTGCAGGCCAACATTGGAAATTCCGCCCAGTGTTGGAGACCGGATGCTCGCCGGAACACCGAGTCCCTGATTCCCCGGGAGGGGTTGGAGCCAGGGGACGCAGTGGCGAGTGAACTGACCGCGCTCTCGATTGCGGGAGTCACGTCAAGATCATCGCGTCTTGTCTGCCTTACAAGTCACTAGTGAAACAACCTCTCGCTTCGGCGCGTTAGGGGAGGACGGAAGCGGACCGCACGCGGTACTTGTTGGGACCGGGGCAAGCGATCCTTGATAAGATCGATGGTTCTCCCTGCCCTTTCCATCGGCAAGCCATGCTCATTTCATCCCGTCAGACAGCTCACCGCACCGGTGATTTGAATGTCGAGTCTCGCTCTTACGGCCTCCCTCGCAGCAAGTGGAGCGGGCCGAAGGCAGCACTTCCTAGTGCTATGATTCGGCCGAATGCTGCCTTTGCCTGAGCGAATGTTGCTGGTCCAGGCAGCCTGTGAGTCGCTGATCCCCTGGGCAACGCTGCCAGCGCAGCAGAATACCGGGGTGGTTTGACCCCTGTCAACCTATGCTACCACCAAATTAGCATCTTCCTCAACCAACGTTTTTTTGTCTCTGGAATGGCAATCTCCCTCGCTACTCACCGAGACTGTCGAGGATTTCTAGCAAGGTCTCTAGGGATTCGAAGTCGAGTCTTTTGTCTGAATTTCGTGGTTGTCAAGAGCTGGCCGGATAAGCCTGAAGAGCGTGCCTGATCCATGGGCTTGATGCTGCAGAACCAATAGCCTGCCCTTGATTCTCGGAAACCTCGAAAACTTCGAAAATCATCGAAACCAGGTAATAACTCGACCGTGCGCGTGGTATTTTTGGATCGGTCTTTTCTTCAAGACATTTGTCGCACTTGCAAACATGCCTTCTCTCGACCGTCATTTAATCCCTCTGCAGCGTTGTGGACACTTGTCAAGCGACGCTGTGGGAAGACAGGCCATCATGAGTGAGATTGAATTGCATTGGTTTGCTTTCCACCGACCCGGTGGAACAGCGACAGGCCGATTGCAAATGTTTCGGAATGGAAGCGGTTTTCGACTCAAGCAATTACAGTCAAACCAAGTGGCTTCGCATACTGGTCAAAGAATGAAGGCGGAAAGGCGAAATCGATCAACGGCCGACCAAAAATGGCTCGAAGTCAGCCTTTTGACCGGCTGTCGTTGAAATTCGCGGGACGACGTTGTCTTATGTGCCGGCGAAGTCCGGCATGTAAGACCGGACGCGCGTGGAAAAAAGGGGCCCAAGACTGGGGTTGTCGAACTAAAAACGGTTCGGAACGTGAGGACCGCAGATTTCATCGGGGCCGCCAGCTACAGGGGGTCACTGCGACTGAAGAAGATGGCCTTGAAGATTGGCGTTGCGTAAGTCACCGTCATCACCTGCCTGACTGTGTAACGTTCCTGTTGGGCATGAAGTTGTGTGATGGCTTCTGGGTGTCATTGGCAGATGAATGCAAGGTAATGGATACCCGTGCCCCTTCCCCCTCCTTTTGAGTTGGACTCCATTCTTTTTCTGTGCTCGCAACGGACCTTATACCGCATTCATATCAACTATCGAGCTGACACTTACCCCCTTTTGTGATCTTAGGACCAACAGATGCTACCTCTCGCATCATGCGTGACGATTTTCTGGAGGGCACTGAAAGTCGGTAGCTTTGCCCTTCCTTCTTATCATCGATATTCCTGGACACTCTTTCCTTGGTCCCTGAGAAGTTTGTCAATGTTTTACTTTCTTATTCATCAGGCTAAGCCGAGCATGTTCAAAGCAGCGTCATTATTTGCATACTCAAGTGGCCCCTTCCAGCTCAACACGGCAACTGGTTTCAACTGCATTAGAACAGACCACTGGGGACCTCACTCTACCAACAAGCAAGACCCGCTGAGGATTGAGCCTTTTCTCCCGCGAAAGGATGTCTTACAGATGGCGCCTAAGACAGCCTTGTAGACCGGTGTGTTGGACGCGCTTCACACAAGCGCCGGCCTTGAACCGGTGAGAGTGCTGCCCTATGCGCTGGAGATCCCGTGCATGATGGGCACCACGAAGCCTGCAGGTGGACTGCGGACAGAGCAGCGGCGCCTGCGAGATGACTTGCAGCCTCCAGTGCTCTATGATCCTTACCGCCATTCTGCCAAGTTTTCAGCTTTGCCTACATCCCCAAGTCTACCTGTTCTAAGTCGTAGGTCCCTTTCGTTCCCGCATTCATCGAAGTCCCCCGGAAAACTCTCGGTAGCTACCAGGAATCTTCTATCAGTATGATTTACTCCTCTCGCACTGCCAGTAATTGAATCGAGGCATCACCGGTCTTCTGAAGAGCACCCTTATGGGGAACGCGACAGCATAGACCAGGCAGCCAGTCAGGGGAAGAAGCTATCACACCATTCCAGACCGCCGCGGTCCATTTTTCTATTCTCGAGTTGTCAGTGGGCTGCTTAAGGTTCGGAGTTGAGCGGCGCAAGATACTTGGTCATCCGCTTACATTTCCTCGCCCTACACCCTCGTGTGCTCTCTTTGGGGTCCAAGGACCAAGATTTCTGTGTCTCTTGACAAGAGCCTCGCCATGTCCATAGTCCAAACACATGTTGGTCGCCCTTGATGCACCAAGGCCGTTTAATACAATATGAAGCCCGGTTCATACCCTTCTTTGGATCTGTAGCACCGTTTTCTTCCACGGTATTCCATTTCCTGAGTTAGAAATGTCGGAATCGCGTTTTATCAACCTTGAAGATGGGTTGAACAACCACAGCGGGCAGTCATCGGCAACGCCTCCAAGCAGACCGAATAGGGGCGGCTCGGGTGTACTTGGAAGCAATTTACCCGTTTTTCTCAACTTCCAGAGACATTCCCCATCTGTTCCTCGTACGAATTCTAGGTGCTCCTCACACGTCCGCGGAAGCCTGACCATTCCAGATCCAAATCAGCAGACCGCCAGCGGTGTACACGCCAAGATATACCGTCATAATGGTGAGTCAGTCCGTTACGGAGTCTCATTATCTCGCTATCGGTCGCGCTAACTTCTTGAAAGTCGAGCGCTATCCAGAGGGCTGGGCGCGCCTCGCCGCCGAACAGGATGAGTCAGTCAACATAGCGATCCACCGCAAATTCAGCTACCTCGGGAACCGGTGCCTCCTGTACTACGAGCAAAAGATTACTCGCATGGAAGACCAGCTTCTCGAGCTGGATTGGCAAATAGCCAACGGAGAAGGTGTACAGGGGCGGCCGAACCAACCCCCTGCTGTACAGTCGGACGAAGAGCCTGACCCGCGGAATCAGAAGATAGAAGCAATATTCGAGAATCTTGCCCGCTACCGTAAGTTTATTCCATCCGAATTCTTAATTGTGTTGCTTTCACTAACAAAAGTAGAACAGGCATTGCTCAACGAGAAGGCCATAGCAGCGCTCTACGAGGTCGGCGACGCGGAACACAAGTTAAGGTACGATAAAGTTCGGAACGATGGCTACCTTGGTCAAGATGAAATGAAATACCTCTGCTATGTAAACGACTTCATCAGCACACGACCAGATAAGTTGCGGCTCGCATTCGAGAGCCTTTTCTACAAGTTCCCGGACTCTTCCTTCACCGTCAGTAATCTCCTCCCACTGCTCTAAGTCCATTCGGCGGGTAAACTGCTGTTCAAGGTTCCTTGGTCTGACTGGGTACAGAACATGCTGCAGGATAGGAGTGCAAGGAAAGAAAAGAACGCAAAGAGCCTTTATTATGCCGCCGTGGTATTCCTCTTCCGCGCTGTTCTCATCTGGGTTTGTGCAATTCTCTTGCTGCTTCCAGTGGCGTTGCTAGGCTTCCTTCCCAACCTTAGTATTCAGACTGCGGCAGGCATTGTCCTTGCATTCTCCGGTGTCGTTGCCATTGTGTTGGTATGGTTGGAGAATATTCAGACCGAGACAATCCTGCTTGGTCTTTCGGCCTACCTTGCCGTTCTCGTTGCATTCTTGACTAGTAAGGCAAGCACTTGATATTAGGGATCGAATACCACCATTTTATGTTACGTCGCGAGTTTTTGGATGTGCTAGGTTCCACAGTCTGAGATCCTGGCGCTTTCGCAGCAAAGAGATCACAGATCATGATTCAAGCGTTGAGGTATTATGTGAACCTTTGACTGAAATAACACAATTTGCTTCTGGATCCATTTTCATTATGACTGTGAGACACACATCATGGAATTATTAAACAAAGTAGAATGAATCAATAAACAAGATTTCATCCGTCATATATGAACCCAGGGCCCTCTTGAAGTTCGCGTAAAAGCCATCCTCTGCTACTCCCCAAACAATTGAGTTTATTATATTACCTTTTTTTAAACCCTACTTCTTGGCGCGTTTCATTTGGAAATGACAAAGAAGACACTACAATGAACATGTATTGATAAACAACTCAGCAATTTTGTTTTTGACCTCAATCAAATTCATAGGCAGCTTCGTCCTGCTAACCAAGTACGGTCGCCAAATGTGGCACAGTACTATTGGCTCGCTCAGTCAAGCATGCTACCTGGCTCTGCAGGAGCCGAATTTCAACTGGAATCCAGCTTCAGGTCTCGCCTTGGTTCCAACCTAGTCGTGTCGCAGCTTACCTCCCCTGGAGACTGGACAAAACCGCGAAGAGAACAGCAACATAGGTACAGGCCCCTACAAATATGACCGGCCGTGTGGTCCCTTGGTGGCCAGCCATCATAGCTATGAACAGGACGGTAGAACCAGCCACGAGGCATGCAGCACCTAGCCTTCCCATACCTGGAAAGATGTAGAGGAATAGAATCGGCAGCAATATAAAGATAGCATAAGTCAGTGAAAGAATGCATTTGATGAACATCTTCATCCGTCCCATCCCTAGAGCAGACGCAAACTTCTGCTTCTCCGTTCCGTCATCCTTGAAGAGGAACTTCGAACCGACGCGAAAAGTCAGTAAAACCTCTGTTGAAAAACTCTGTTGTCCTTGAAAGCTTACCAGCATAAGCCACTTCGGCAGGATGTGCATCCACACTGCGATCGTCGGCCACAGCGGATCCGTTGCTGTGCTAATAAAGTCCTCAGGATAGCGAAGATACTCCATCTCTTCCTCGTTAAGGTAGCCATCATCTTCAATCTTGTAGTATCGGTTCCAGAACTCTGGCTCTTGTACCTCGTGAAATAAACTCAGAGCTCTCTCGTTTGACAACATTTGGTCTGCGGTTCAATCTGTCAGTTTAGACGGCCTTGAAACATGTACAGCTATGATATGTCTTACAATAGCTGTTAAGAAGCGGCCAAATCTCCTCCAGGACTTGTGATATCTTCTGCGGTAATATGTCGTCTTGTTTCTCGCTGCTAAACAAGGCTTCGTTGCCAGGGACCTCCCCAGTGTCTGTTCCGTCTTCAATGTCTCTGGCGTTCTCTGGAGCCTCTGCAAGACCGCCTGGTGCTCTGGTAGCAGCCATTTGAAGGTCCAACTCAAGAAGCTTCTTTGCCAAGGCCGACAGCCTGTATTGGTAGTCCAGGAGACAGCGTTGTAGGAGATTGCCGAACTTTCGGTGGATCGCGGTGCCTTCGAATGCCTCTTGCTCGGCGGCTTGGCGTGGTAGACCTTCGGGGTACCGGTTGACTTGATCCATGTTAGAATCATATGGACTGGGACTCTTTTGATAATTTCACTCACTCTCGCGACTATAGACAGGTTCTAGGGATGGTCCATTCGTAGGGTTTCCCGGGTCTGTTGCTTGCTGTGTCATTTAGATATCCCAGTGTCAGGGGTAGTGGGATACGCACTTTGTGAAGTGTCGGCGGGCTGTGGATACAACCCCCACTTGCGAAGGATAGACCTGATGTTCAGGTTCTCTGGAGATTCGAGCGTCGTTGCCGGTATGCTGTTCTCGCCGTGTGCGGCTTCGGGATCATTACAATGAGTAGTCATGGCAGAAAAGGAGTGAACGTGTCTTGTCCTTCGTCTGAATCCTCATAGAAGATGGATGACTGAGGTCCTCATTTTATAGAAGTCAACTGGACGTGTCGACATCGGCATGGCCATACAGAGCGTGGGCAAAGACCGGATGCTGTAGCCTTGCCAACATTGCCAGCAAGATGGCGATGTTGGTCGACTGCCCCTCTTTTTGGACCCCATATGATAAGATGGTGTAGGGAGAGAGAACATGACGGGTGAAGGTAGGCCTTAGGCGCCTTGAAATGATGAGCTGTCTGCCTTCTCTTGGAATACTTGGATGAAGATGCTCTGTTGCGGTGAGCGATGGTGTGCTGATCTGCTGACCGATTCGTCGCCTTCTCAATGCTTTCGGGCGTAGAGAAGACGCAAGAGAAGCATCACATGTTCACATGATGTTGGCGAAGGTTCGAATGTGCTGTTTTGTTAACGGCAGAGTTCAAACGATGGAGAAGTACGCTCACGGGACGAATACGTTGAGAAGGCCAGTGGGTGTGCACGAAGTCGTACCAAGCATGTAGCCAGCGGCGGCGATGACGATCTTCAAAAAGAGACAGTCAGTGGATCGCAGACTCTCACCGCTCTATTCGCTCTGCAGTCACCAATCTTCTCAGCCTCTATCGGGCCGCAAGAAGGTGGGACGATGCCCTATCAGCTCGGGTGGCTACATATGAAGCAGCACCCCATGAAGGATCGGCCCGGGATCCTGGGGAAGAAGTGAAGAACAGCTAGTCTGAGGCAGGCTGAGTACAGCCATTACCATTGGCGAGATCGGTCGGGTCGACATGACCTAAAGGGTAGGGAGTTATTTGGGGGAGGGGTTACTGTCAGTTTGTAACTTTGCCAGTACCGTGGGGGAAAACGCTCCACCTCACTGCGAAGGCAAAGCAGCGACTACAGGCTTTCCGGTATCAGAGACCGGCCGTTTCGGATGACTTGAATGTTGAGAGTCAACGGCTTTTGCAAGAAACGGAACTGAAAAGGGGGATTGAGAAGGATATATTGTTGGAATAACCAGTCCGGACCGGTCCATCGAGACGGCTCCACGATTAGATACATCACACAGGATCCGAATCTTCGCCAGATCCCATACTAACGGGCCTGCTCAGGAACAATAGCCACGAGCTGTTAGCCTTTGTCCAGGCTGTACAACCAACACTCGATTCAGGGGGTCCACCACCCTAGGACGTGCCGAAATGCCCCGAAGAGATGCAGATGGAAAACCTGAAATTCTTGGAAGACTTATACTTAGTACTGCTGATTCGGACAAAAGGGATGTGTTTGGCCTGCCTCTCATTCAATTTGGCAGGTTTCTACCCATTCTCCGCATGATGCGGCCGTCCATCGCACTCTAGACCCCCCCACCCCCCCCGGGGGTGAGTTGTGGGCACTACAAGAGTGGTAAAGACCCATGCCATGCCAGACGCCCTCTAATACGCGCGGTTAGGGCGCGAGCCAACAAAAAGGCTCATGTTCCGAGTAAGAATGCAGCCATCATAGTGAAAAAAACGGGGACACCGACTCGACATGAGCGACCACGTGCACGCCTCCGGCCGGAAAATGCTAAAGAGATGAATCTACGTGTCGGAAAAGCATGTGCAACGTTGGGCGTCCCTATTTATGGTTTAGCCGCCCATGGATTTGGCACTGGTTGGTCCGTTCAGATCTTGTCTCCGGGGTCCGCGCATCCTTGGATCTGTTTGCCCCTGAAGATGCGAGACGTGCTTGCGATCCGCCCCTTGGTGACACACATCATCAGCCTTATGGGCGGTCACCTGATGACAACGACATATGCCTTTCCTGCTGTATAGTTTACTTTTTCATTGTTTACCTTCCAAATGTTGCAGGCATATCCACTGACGTGTGTAATAGTCGTTTATGTTTGGTCAACGGTATCTCTCTTGCACACCTTTCTACCAGCCATTTTCGATTATCTACCACAGCTATACCAGGCGCCATGTTGTACGGCTTGACGAGCCTGTGTACGCAATGAAACTATTGCGGACCATCACCTAGGTGTGGCGAGTGCATTCTCGATGTTCTGCACCGAGATAGGCAGGGTGGCGCGGTTTACTTGGCAGGATTTGTTCCCATCGGCTGTCCGCAGCCACGTTGGTCTTTGCTCGATCCATGGTCAAAGTTTTGCTAGTGCACAGTTTGACGGGCGAGTGATGGAATCAAACGTTATGCCAGTCCCGGGTCCTAAACACCACACAGACGGCGTAGGCATGTTCATCGACCTCTATGCCCGAATGCAAAAATTGGTGGCAGGGAGGGGCCTTTGGCGAGGGCAGAAGCCATGCAGATCTGACCATCTGTTCAGCCACAGGGGAGGGGTCCTTTTGTTCCCCTGTCATCGGTTTCGTTGGTGCCGAGCACACCGGGCCTGATTCGCTAGGGGACTCACCTTGACCGAACCGGGACAAACCACCCCAGCCTGTCATCTACGGTAGACGTCCAGTATGTTTTAAGATTCCGGTAGTCAGTCACGCGTCGTATGCTTAAGCCGCGTGTCTCCGATCGGATGCTGGAGCGCGTGTTGAGCAAGCCAACGCGTCTACGAAATCGGGTGACAGTTGCAGATCTCCCCAGCGAGAGAGCTTTACTGGAGAGAACCCTGTATGACACCCAAATCGTCGTCTTCGCTGAGTTTCCTGCTAACACACTACAGATGTGTATCTTGTAACTGCAAGTTACATGGTCTGGAGCGCCACCGCGAACCCCCCCTCCCGCGTCCCCTGCTGGCGACGGTGCTCATCATTCACAGCGCTGGAAGATCGTCCCGCCCTGGCAACACAAACGCTGGAAAGCAATCGAGCCCCCCTGGGCCCCTTGAGCGCACATGCGAACTTATCGCTCTGCTCTAAGGTGTGGTATTCATGGGTAAGAAAAGTACAGGGATCGGTAACGCACGACGCCTTCTTCTCCCGCTCTCTGCAAGCCAACCACGATGCCCGGGCTCATACATCCGGTGGTTTTTTGCACTTTAGACGCACCTCTCATGCTGTAGACTGAGTTATCACGCGGCGCAGTGCTTGGGAGATGCAGCATCGTGCCCTCGACGGCACCTGGCTGCGTCGATGGCCGCGTGGTTGCAAGGAGAAGCGAGGACAAGCTAGCCTCGTATGTGGACTTCGTCAACTGTCGGCCCTTCTGGCTGGTTTGGGCAAGCTGGCCATGCAGACAGGACTTGCTTGCTTCTTCTAGGGCACACAACTGAAGAATGTAGCGACGATGGCAACAATATTGTCCCTTCGTTTCTTATAAATAGGCCCCTTACCAGCCCCTCCAGCATCGTGAGTTCGACAACACCGCACTTTCTGCTCTTCAAAAACCCTCTGGTTGCAACTATCAACCTATTCGAACTACTGACTCTCACGCGCCTTGTCCGCTGCATCGCCAACCTTACCACGGAGACAATGTCTATTACCACGAAATATGAGGCACAACTGTGAGCACGAATGATTGCTTCCGTGACCGCGTGACTCTCTTTGGGGCTGACTGACGGCCACGGTAGGGAACCCCAGGGCTGTCTCTTTTGGAAACCTGCCTTGATCTACACCGGGACCAAAACGATTCCGTCTAAACCTAAGACGAAGTCATCCGATCAACCACACACGAAGCCATCGAGCGAGGATGGCCAGCACGAAACCTAGCGGCAAAAAAACTTCGCAACATAACGGGAACTCTGATGATTGGCATACTCTGATGTGTATCATCATGATGGTGACTAACTGCCAATGAGCTGGGGCAACAGTCATTGTTAGACTAGAAGCAAATACACTCAGTTACGCACAAGAACATAGACTTGAGAGGACTGTGAAGAGGGTTGACACCGCCCGTAGCCTCTAAAACTCACGGCGTAATCGAGTGTGTGCAGAACTGGACCTTCCGACAACTGCGTAGCATATTCCTCACGCGCGGTACATATCCGTTGAACCCGGGCAAGCCGAAGCGAGAAGTTTCATCAGACACACAGAGACTGGATGCGGCGATTTTGATGGCGCCTCATACAACTGATAGCGCGGGTAGGCCACCTGGAGAATGTCGCTAGCCCCCTCGCCCCTCTTGCCCCTTGCCCCTGCCCTTCCCGGGGAACGAGGAACGGAGCTTCCGTCGCCGCTCCATTGCCGGGCGAAACACCACTGTCGGGAGCTGCAGCAGACAGAAGTGCACGTCTCCACGGCCTCCCGACGTGCCCTCGCCGGGCGTCCATTTGTTAGCTTGACGAGAACCTGTATGCAGACGGTTTTGGACGTGCCCAATGCCGCCACTCGACCAGTACCCCGCCCACAACTCTTCTCCTGTCATGGCAGAGCCTCCTCGGTGAGCTGAGGCTGCCGTGCAAAAAGTCGCCAAAGGGTGTGCGTTTCGTTGCTCGTCATGTCACGGTCACCGCGTCCGCCTTATCCTCCGGATGAAACTTCTCGCTTCAACGCGCCGGGGTATGGCGGAAGCGGAACGCGTGCGCTACAACTGCAAAGAGTGGTCTGTTTAGCTTTAGCTGGCGGGGGTCACCTGGGCAGAGGTAGCTGCGTTTCGCTGCCCCGGCCAGTACTCGGCTCCGGGCCGGGAGGTTCCACACAGGTAGGTAGGTTAGGCTGACTTGCACAGGTACACCTCATGTCCTAAGCAAACTCGATCAGCGTGCCAACGGAGGGGTTGGGGAGGATGGTTTCATGAGGGACAGGAGTGGTGAAGCACAGTTGCGATCGAGACCATTTAGAATACCGGATTGAGTGAGAACATTGTTTGTAAAAAGCTCTGTGTCGGTGACAAGTCGGACATATTCCCCATTTCCTGCTGTGGCACTTGGTTTCTTCACTTGAGTCGACGGCGACACCCAGGCTCGCCCCCTGTAATGCCATCAGCCCGCAGGCCAGTGCTATGCCTAGACGCTCAGCAAAAGGGTCGGAGGCTCCAGTGTTGTGCGCATGGTCTCCCTCGTCAACGCAACCGACCATCAGTTCCTAGGCGTCTCCAAAGTTTCTGTGGGCAGTTGCTCTGCTGGGGCGGCTTGCTGCGGACTTGAGGGGCGTTCCCGGGAAAACATCATGGGCATCGGGTGAGTTCTTATGGGTGGGTAGCCCATTCCTGGTAGACCGAGATGACCTTAGTACTGTAAACCACGACTCTAGCGTACCGGGCAAATCAAGTGCTCGTACCTAGCAGTTCGATGCTTTTTTTGCATTTCTTTGGCATGATTCGGATGGTTACAGGTGAACGGCAAAGTTGCAGGACGACACTGTTTTTGAAGTGTTCCGGACGAAGAGCAGATATACAAGAAGAGGAACTCGTTACTTCGCAACTTGCAAGTGTGCGCCCTAAGGTATGGCAAGGGTCTTCTGCACGGTACGAATCCGATGAAGGCCTCATATGCGACCAAGCCAAAATACAAGGTGCCCTAGCCTTCGCTTCTGCTAGAGCCCATCCGGCGCCAAGTGCATGAGGGTACAGCATCCAACGTGTCCCGCCGCTGGGCAGTCGACGAGGTTGATCACCGCAACACAGGGGCACTGACGGCATGCTGTAGGGCATCGCGTGTTGCTGGCCACGCTGTTTCGCGGCTGTGCGGCTGCCAAATCTCGAGGAAGCCTCCGCACCAATGGTTCAGAGGACGCGGGTGAGTTCCCGTACGCGTACGCGTTGTAAGCTTGTTCTGATTTCGCCAAACGGATCATCGGCGGGGGAGGGGCCTGTCGGTGGCGTTTTCATCTTGTTTGCCCCATTCACCCTTCTCATTACAACCCTGTCCGGACCGGTGTGTCTGGGCCAGACTTGCGGGCGCGGGTTTGCGGCTGAAAAGCGTTGTGTTGTGAACGAGCTCGGGAAGTCTTCTGACTGTTACATAGGCAGTGGGCAGGCGGCCACGCTCTGTACAGCGAATGGCAACCTTTGACGGCAAGGCCACCCCCGCAGAGGAAACCCTGTCGCTCATTAAACCGAGCAACACACCCTGGGGTTCAGCTTCGCTGCCCGCTCAATCCTTCGTTTGTAGGCAAGGCCGCCTCTGCCTGCCCCGACTTCCTACATCTTCTTCGCCCGTTGCTATTGTTCCCTTTCGCTTTTCTTCTCGATTCTCGACTCCAATATTGACAGTCGCAGTTGATGCAGCAGGAGAGAAAAAGGAGAGAGAGAGACCGAGAAAGAGAGCGTACTCATTGTATGCAATAGTGGGGGCCATCGGCTTCTTGCCCGTAACCCCGCCAACCGGGAACGTTGCAAAAGCACAGGCTGAAAAATGAGCGCGACAGCGTCACTTCGAGTCCTCTCGGACGCCAGGTAAGTTTGCAACATGTCCATGAACCGTTCCTAACCTTATCACAGGCTTTCTGACACTTGCCATCAGCGCGGATGAGAGGCCAAGGCGATAGCCAGGAACATTCCGGATTGACGACCCTCGGTCCGTTCTCGGTTCGACTGGCCTAAAGCCATCCCATCGGTCGCACCCTGTGGTCTTTCAGACGCGAACGGCGAAAAAATCGGGTGTTCAAGGGAGGTGTACTAACCTTAAAGACAACAGACGTCGTCGAAGTTGTCCCGTGTCGTTGGACCTCATCCGGACTGTTGTAGGGCCGGCGGCTCTCGCTAGCACGGCGCCACGCGCAAGGCGGTTATGACGTGCAGCCAGCGACAAGGAACGTCGGCCAATCTAGCTTCGTTGGCGAAGACAGCTGACAAGGCCAGATTCGCGGGCGGATCGCTGCAGACTTAAATGAAATGCGATTGAGAGAGGCCACCTACTATTCAACGCACGTAAGGCACCAGCGGGGTGTGCACGTGCATGGGGGCTATGTGATGGGAATCGACTCCGGCAGCCTTGATGGGTTTGCTGGAGAACATTTCCGGATGTCGTCGCTCGTGGTTCCATGGATATTGCTCGGGTCAAACCGCGGGACACGTGGGGTTGGTGGAACGGGAACTATCCACAGCAAGGTTTGGCTAAAGAGGGGGTAATGGAGCACCTTCCTCTTTCTGTGTTTTCAGACCGCGCCCTTCTGTCAGGTTTCTCTATTGAGCCAGATCTCAACCAAGTTCGACACATGCTGGGCGGTACTGGTGCGCACCGTACTTTCGGTATATGGAGTTGAGACGCAGGCCACGCACGAGCTTCCGTTCATCCTGGCCTTCTCGCATCCCTTTGCCCGGCTCTCAAACATGCCTTCGAGCCACTGGCTCTATATCACCATCCACAGGTTGCTGTGGTGGAAGTTTGACACACAGTGTCACCTTGTCGCCTTCCCAGTATTTCTCATCGTCTTTGAATTCGCACGTTGTGTGTCTTGCTCATTCATTGCTCCATCTCAGCTCCGGGGTCACTTTCATGCGACCCAGGCTCGTATTTGATCGACCACGCAATGGCGGTGTTTCAACATCTTGTGCGTCTCTCATTGCCATGAGCGCAAACGTCAGCACAACTTTCTTCTTCTCAGCCAACAACTAATGCTCCATCATTTACAGGTTCGTTGATGCAACCCCACCCCCCGCCCCCCGGTGATGCTCTCTGATTCAATGCAGTCGCTTCGACTCCGTAAGGTATCAATCGCGTTGGTCGCAGCCCAACGCAGCCATGATCCTGTCCGCACCTAAAGCCGCGCTCTAAATGCTTTGTGCCTACTATCTTGTTATCTCGGTTCAAGCGGTGATTCTATTTTCGTTCTGTAGCCTCCAAGTAACTACGATTCGTGGCAGAAGCTTTCATGTTCGTCCAAAGCGCCAGAAAAGCCCTATCACTTGACAGGTTACCCTCAGGAGACCTGGCCCGTCACTCTGAAAGAGCCATTTCCAAGGAATGTCGTCAACATTTTGGCGCTCCAGCCGCCATTCCATCACTTGAGTTTGTCGTCCGTTAGAAGTCGTCAAGAAGGCTACGAATAGACAAGCAGCCCATCACGCCATGGCTCACCGCAACAGTTCGCCTCGAAGCAGCATGTCCACAGGAGGGTAGACAGGTCAGCACCTCAAGGCGCGTACTGTGAGATTTCGCCCCTCATACGTTGTCCCCTACACCACTTCCCCTATCTGGGGTCTGAAAAGAGGATTCGACGACCAGCATTACCTACTTTTTTCTCCTTCTGTGAGGCTCCCGCATCGTGGTGCTCTAATCAAGTCATCTGTCTCGACTTAACCCATCAATCACTGCTCTATACATCTAACTCTATCGTCTGTTCCATTGCGCCATTTTGCCCACGATGGCCGAAAACTCCTTTTTGAGTGCTCCTTTTCCGGACCTGATCAAGCAATGACGACTCTGCCGATGACCAACATCGAGGTTGGCCGTGTAGACAACGACACCTCGCCGCCTCCCCCCTCCCCCCCCCAAAAAAAAAAGGAAGAAAAAAGGCCACCAAATCCGCTGGAAACTACCTATAAGTTCCTTTGGTAAACCTATTGCGATGTGCAGATCATCCGTCTCCAGGTCCGCCTCTGCCAACAACCGCGCGCAGGGGAGCTCAGCTAACCGGCACTAAAGACGGTTCAAGCAAGAAAGCCTCTGGAGATTATTTCTATCGCGATGAACGTAAGTTCCATACTACGATTGGCTGATTGCCTCTTGTTGACAAGCCACTGCTCAAGCTGAGAGATATCGTGAGGGCTTGCCGCGTCTCGCAGCCTCATAGGAACACTCCGAAAACTGTGCAATATGCCGCAGGTTTGGTTGCCTCTCCCAGCGATGCCTACTCGGCAATCAAATTTGGTTGGCTGCACTGGAAGGGCATTTCTTCAAGCTGGAACATGATCCAGCAGACAACGGAGTGCCAGACCGTGATGCTCAAGTCGCGTCGTCAAGTGGAGGTGTACACAGTCGGTTTCCCTTGACTGTATCTGATACAATCTAAGAAATTGGTTCCTTGCTGCTACCCAACTACTGTATGCCCAACTCCTTATCGCCTCCATAGGAGATGCTGAACTTAACCGTGGCAAGACCAGATGTTGATCAACGATCAGGCGGTAAAGTCCCTTCACGAGGTTTGGTACCACGAATACTGCAACATAGCTAGAAATAACAAAGTAGGCGGGCACTAAAGCAAGGACGAACTGGCCTACCTTAACCACCCTTCTGACTTTGTCAATACGGTAACGGATCCATTATGGCTGGCTTTTGAAGCATGGCTCTACAAGCTCCCGAGCTTCCTCCTGGCGGTAAGCGTAACTGCGGCCCTCTTCCCTTCCCAGAGACGGCATGCCGATCCTCTCTCTCTGCTACGCAACCCATACTCGAGGACAGAAGAACGAGAAAAGAGAGAAACATCTTCTTCTAGTCTACCGCGACGATGCGCTTTCTGTTCAAGACTCTCTTCGTATGTTTCTACGCGTTCTTATTGCCGATCCCGGTGATCTTGTTCTCGCTTGTTCAAGACATGAGCAGAGCAGCTACAGTCGGGCTCCTTGCTTCATTCATGACCCTATTCAGCGCACCTATGGCTCTTCGTCCGAGTAAGGCCGACAGCATGCTTCTTGGTGTCTGCGCTTATGCGGCTGTACTCGTTGCATTACTGGCTAATGTCTGAGCATGATCAATGATGGGTGGAAAATCGCCAAAATCAGCCACATTCATGTTGTATGATGAAACTGTGGCGAGGAAAGGGATGATGTGACACAGTTCTTGTGTGAATTAAGTAAACATATTAAATATGCTCCTACGAAAATCCTTTCGTAACCGTCCCTGCCTCTATCGTGTTCATCGTCTTCATGCCCGCAGAGCTTGTATCTTGGTATCATCAAACAAAGTAAAAGCTTCAATACATAGCCGTATGTAAGCAACTTAATTGCCTGGAGAGGTGGCCACGATGGTATCAGGACTAGCCTGATCAAAATCGACCTCCACCCCTCCGCCGTCCTTCTGCGACTTGTTGGGCGTCTCCGAAGCCTCGCGAATCCTCTCAAGGCGCCACGAGGCCTCGGCCTGCGGCGTTGACGGCACATGATCGCCTGTTCCCGGTGTCTTCCCTGGCTGTTGCGCGCCTTGTGAGCCATCAGCCTGGACGCTGACCCCATGGAGCGGCGCAGTAGTCTGGTCTGAGTGTTTCAGCGTGTTGTCGATGGCGAGGAGTTCTTTCGTCAGGCCGCGGACTCCTTCAAAAATGTATTCTGGGGCGTCCCAGGCGACCAAGCCCGGTGTTACCGATGCCCGGCGCGTGTGGAGGAGTTTGTACGAGACCTTCGCCCACGCCGGACACGCGTATGAGACTGACGCCGGACGTGGCGCAACGGCTTGCGCTTCAACATCACTCGGCCCAGTGGCTGCTTCGCCGGTGAACACCGTCATTGCGATCTTGGGTTTCACAGCCAACTTCGGCGGCGCCTCCTCCTTGTGGGCAAGACAGTGAGCCCAAAACCGCAGTGCGGCCTCGGGGCCGGGAAGCCACGCTGTCTGCGTGAGAGTGACGATCTCTGTCGGCGAGAACTGCTTCTGCGCCCCGAAGACGCGGAGGACCTTGAGCACGAGCGCGAGGAGCCCAACCGGCGAGTCGCAGAGGGCGAAGGATGGTGTGTTCGGCTCGAGCATGTCTGGCGGAGGGGTCGCCGGCGACGCGGAGACACGGTCCAAGGAAGCAAAGTCCTCACGCTGGTAACCCAGCACTGGGGCGCGGAAGAACTTTGCGATGGACCACTTCATCCACTCCAGAGGCGCTGCCTGCGCAGTTGGTACCTTGATGGACGGGTTGATGAAATGGGCGCCCACGCAGCTGTTGGGGTAGTGGGCTGCCAGGTAGCTTGCGATTTTCCAGTCGATTTCTGCGGGACTTGAGGCGGCCGAAGCTGTGTTTGTCGCGACATATGTCGAGTACGAAAGTCTTGTCATGACGGTGTTGAGAACCTCCGCCGTCGCCGAAATGACGGATGCGTTACTTGGGAGCGCATCGCTGAAGCCGATACCAGGCAAAGACGGGATCACCACATGGAAAGGCTGCTTATTCTCCGGATCCTCCGGCTCCGCGAGAGGTTGAATGAGGTGTTGGAGTGAGAGATTTGTGAAGGGGAACGGGGGAATGAGAAGCAGAGGGACTGCATTGCTATGAGACGACCTGACGTGGACAAAGTGAGACCGCACGGAAGCCTCGGTGCCTGGGATGAGGACTGCTGTACGGAATTGGGGGAGTTGTGCGTTGAACAGCCTTTCTTGCTCTCGCCAGTCGTACTTTTCAAGCCTGTTTGTGTGCTCTCATCAACAACGCGTTTCTCTCAATAAATGAAGAGACAACTCACCAGTAGTCAACGAGAGGCTCGATCTGAGGCTTCGGCTCCCACCAGTCCTGCGACTTCGGCTCTGACGTCTCATGAGGCAATCTGGTGAGCTCCAACTTTTGCTTCGTGAGATCGAGGTATTTGCTTGAAACCTAAGGCGTACTGAGTCAGTCATCAAGCCCCCTCACAACTTGCTAAGAATCTCTCACATGGATGCGGTAAGGCCTAATCTCATCACCGGCCAAGACGGCGCTGTTCTCAAGAGGAGTCACCATGGTGAGCGGGCATAGCCATCGACGACCAAACTCTAATCCTTCTTTCAGTTTTCCAGAAGCAAGTAATGTAAACAAAGTCTCCCAAGAGACGGTGAGCAAAACGAAGAAATGCCGGTGAACAACAATCTGGGACGGGGCGTATTGAATAAGGGCATCAACCACGTAAGCAACCCAAAGCAATAAGTGTTACCCAACTGGGAACCAACGCCCTGCAAAGTCTCATTGATATCGCCGGGGACTTTAATAAGGTCCGGACCTTCCTCTTCTCCAAGCGAGCGCTTCCATGTTCAATATCCGTCGTGCCGTCGTCCTGGTCGAGTTGTGGCATTGTGGCTTGTCTCCTCCCTACGTGTTAGAAGGCCTCTGAGTGGTCGTGAAGGTGGGATAGCAAGTCTAGAACGGGTGCACGCCGGTGGACATGTGGCGGTGCACACGAATCCCCGTCAATATTCGGAAATGATCACCGCTTTTTGCTGTCCTTGCCAGGAACAGAGTTGCATCAACCAAGCTAAATCTTGGACGGAACTTTGGAGCTAGTGCATCTATTGGCTATGCTTCATCCATACCCCTGTTCAGTTGGGATGGTAAACTTGCCACATCAGCCACACCCTCTAAGTTTCCCATCTTTTTCAGATTGCCATCTGAGTGATTCGCGCCTGGTCTCTGTCAGTTGCAGCCTCAGAGAAGATGTGTGATAAAGGCAGTTCGGTGTATGCATTTCTCAGCAGCTTGCTCATGCCTAGGTGTGATAGTCAAACACGCGTCCTTTGCCACATCTGATCCTTCCAACGCCAATTGTAACCTGATCACAAGTCCAGTACCACCCCGGCGCTCTACCGGGCGTCTCCAGAATTCCTTCTTTCGTCGCGTTTAGTCTCGCTGCAAGTCATGCACCAACCTTCTCCTCGAAGACGAAAAGTTCGAGTGTTCGCACGTTTGGGGGCTGTCGTCCCCTCAGGTATCTCTCATTCTTCATTACATCCACAAGTCCAGTCGTTTGATGTGACATGCTCTCTGTTCCATTTTCCGCGACCATGGTTCATTTGGGTTTGGATATGTTCGATCGGTAGACGTCTTGCCTCAAAATGAAGATTCCGGCCTCAAGAAGGTCGTTGCGGAGCACCTGGTGCAGCACTTCCCGGAGCACCGCGAAGGTTCATGGCGCCGATGCGGGATACGATGTTGCTTCCCACGGCGTCTACTGCTCCTCTAGGTGAGGTCAAGCTGGGACCTTGTGGAGCTGTCTCTTGGACGCGGAACAGTTTTATTGCTGTCCCGTTCCAGATTCCAACTGTACCCTTAGATACCTGGATCTCGCTGGTGAAGACGAAACCCCAGAGGAGTGATTCGTACCAGCCCAGAGACAACTGTGACCACTCGAACGAATGAACACGAGGCGGTGTTGGGTCTACACCTACCAGCCTGATTTCCTGTATCTTTTGCAGCGTCTCTCGGTTCGCGGATTCGCCAGCAAGTGCTTGACGGGGCAGCAGGGCTGACACTTGCTGAATCACAGTGAGCATGGTATGGAGCGGGAGCTCTGGAAGCCAGCTCTCGATCCACTGCGCACTTGGCTCAAAGGCGCCGGCCTGTGATTGTCCACTGGTGGAATAGCCACCTAGACTTGTGGTGCTGTTCTGTCGGGAGAAATTGGGTACGCCAGCGGGCATCTTTCCCCTGGCTTTCTCCGACATTCCGCGGAGTTGCGTGGGAACTGCATCCTCCGCAAATTCAGCTTGGGACGATGTGACGGACGGGTTCTCGCTTGTAGTAGACTGGGCTGGCGTAGGGCGATGATCGTCTTCGTCGTCATCATCGTCATCGCTGTCGTCGTCGTCGTCCCCGATCGCGAAAGTTCCGTCTTCTTCAGGCACATCGCTGAGGGTGGGTTGCCGAGCTTGCGAAGTCGTCGGGCTGCGGAGGCTTTCAACGGAGCTTCTGACCGAACTTGGTTCCAATCCATCACCGCTGGCAGCAGCCTCTTTGCGGCGACGGTTGCGTCTCTCAATCTCCTCCTGGCCACTCTCAAGCGTAAAAGTACGCAGTGCTTCAATGCGTTTCTTATTGCGCAGGATCGAGAAGATCAACTCTGGATTCTCTGTTCGGTCGTTAGATAAACGTGGTTCTGAGGATGCGGGTGCAAAGCTGCACCCTACATCCCTAAGGCGGCAACTTACTTTGGTACTGATGCTCAACGACTGCGTTGATGGACTCCATTAGTGACCTCAGGAGGTCGTGGTTACTGTCATTTGCCAGAAGAAACGAGGGGGAAGACATGGAAGAGAACAGCTGCATTAGCTTCGATGCAGATGCCGGACTGAGTCCTTCGAGGTAAGGGGCGATGTTGTTGATCACGGCCAACAATGCTGGGTAGATAGCGTTCAGTCTGCCTTGACTCGTGGTGATGAGATTGTAGATTGACTAGCCGCAGTTAGCAGAGCTTCATTTCAAGTGCACCAGCATTGCTCACGTGGATCAAGAAGTCAGCGTATGTTCCGCTGAATCCTGGTATTCTAATGGTCAAAGGCAGACTTTCTTGTCGCCCAAAAGTGCGGTTGAGATTGGTGCCAAAATTCTTTTCCACACTCAAAGTTTGGAGCAAGAAGGCACACATCCGCACTACCCCTTGCTTGGACGGATCATTCTTGTACTCCAGAGCGTAGAAAAGGGTCAGGACGAGAAAATCCGTCAGTCGCTCTGTATCGATGATGAATGAACGGAATCGTTTGTTGCACTGCGTAATTTCCCAGAAAAGCATGATGATTTCTGGAGCAAACTTGGCCCCCGTCTGTCCGCTGGGAATATACGAGCTCTTCTCCTGGAGCGGCTGGTTGAGAATTCGCGTCATACCGTCGACGATGAACTGAAAGTCCTGGGGGCGGTGAAGTCGCCCAAGGAAATGACGATAAAAGTTCTTGGGCGTCGTGCCATCCTGCTCGGGTATTGGGTATAGCAAGAATACCAGCAGCAGTTGTAGTGTGTAAGTCACCAGAATCTGCTTCTCGTCTTTGAAGACGAGCGTGTTGTAAGGAACACGCCAGGTGGCTGGGTTATACTTTAGGGTCTGTTCCTGTCAGCGATAGTTTCGGTTTTTGGGGCCGCAAGATGCATGCACGTACAGTATTCAGCAGCGAGCAGAGAACCGACAACACGACCTGCTTGTCGGGGCATGTACAAATATGGGTCAAGGCCCGGACACCCTTTTGTGGAAGAGCGTTGGGTGACATATACATGCTCTGACTTGTCATGGTCATGAGCAAGCGGAGAATCTCGCTACGGTTGCTTTCGAACTCCTTGGTGGTAGTTACTGCGGTATTGCAGCCCACGCCACTCTGCCAGATGGCGTACGTGACTTTCGAGCGTCCATTGGGTTGTTTGGGTAAGGTGAGATCGGAAAAGAACAGCAAGTCTACGAGAGTGTCGATAAGCTCCTCGGCGAGAGGCTTGGCGTCTTCGAAGTCTTCAGGGTCGTTCCTCGGCTTGGGTGATCGCGGGCCATCCTGGGCTCCGTCGAACAGCACTTCGTTGGCAATGGCGGATTGCCTCGTCCTCTTCCGCCTAGCACCCCAAAAGAATGTTTCTTCCCATTGTTGAAGGTTATCAGCCTCGTAGATGAAGGGCAGGATGCGCGTCAGGACTCGGATACAGTTCAGAGCGTCTCGTTCGGGTGCGATCTCAGGGTCGGGGAACGAGGGATGGTGGCGCAATATGAACAGTCGAGATGTGATTGCAAGTATCAGCGTTTCTAGATTTTCAAGTGCTTTATCTCTGGTGCGACGAATATCGGCGGGAGCGAAGAGGCTGAAGATGTCCTCTGAGGATTCGGGGAGCTCCCAAAACTGTCGAAATGTGGTCAGTAGACGTTGCCTGGGAAGAAGACACGATGCAGGAGTACCTACAGAGGTCCAGTAAGGGTCATCGGCCGGAATGTGACGCTCCTCAGACAGCCTGAAGATGCCCTTCTTGAAGACGAGCTTCGAGTCGCTGGCACCCATGTTGTCACAGAGCGTTCATATCTATCAGAACGTTTCTGACGGAAGAAGCTTGGGAAGGCGACGGTTAATGGTTCCAGACCAAAGGGCGCCCGGGTGCTACGTAATGCCAAAAAGGCGGGTCGCAGCTGCAATCCGGCCAATAGACGTTGGAAAGCGGGGTAGGTGTTCCCGTATCTTGAGGTCGCATCCTTCCATTTCCTGATGCCGAGGTACGTACCTGCGCGACTGACACACGCCCAGATTCCAGGTGTTGAAGGAAGGTCCATCTCTCGTAGCATTATCTAACCTCTAAGTATAGTAGAAACTGTGAGGGGAAACCAGACAAGAGCACGACGCCCTTCTCTCCCCCGCCTCCTTTGATCGATGCTCTTTCTTACATCGATTGTGGAGTGATTGACCCAAGTTATGCACGTGTTTTGACTGATCCTCGAAGTCCTAGTCCCATTTATGACCCGCAGGTTCTGTAGATTGACGTCTATGTACAACCCTTGCTCCTCATGCGCGTCATCTTGAGAATCCGCTTGGTGGTATAGTAATCCCATTAACGGAGCTAGGCATCTCCTGAAAAGACCCTTCACGCGGTCCCGTAACGCCGTTCTCCAGGCTGGCAGAGAAACCACAGTCTAAAGCCCCAAACACTTCGAATGCATTACTCCATCGTTTGCGAAGAACCGTCATCACGCTTAGTGCATCCAGCTGCCTCCCGAAGATCTCCTGCCCCTTTCATAAAGCCACTTGTTGTTCAAGCCAACACTAGTGCGCTTGCCCGTCGAGGGGCTTGGTGTTCCGGGGTCGGGAAACAGAGAAGAGGCGGTACTGGCGCCCAGGTTGCTGTTGGTGCTCGCACCGAAGTTGGTGGACGAACTGAAAGATGACCTCCGGTTGCTGTTCAGACTAGCTGAAAACTTAGAGGGGCTGCCGTTCAGAGGAGAGGGCGAGTATGATTGTCCATTGAACGAGGACCCGAGCGCCGGGCTGCCCCGTCCAGACAGTGGAGAGCCAGAGAAGCTTCTGTTGCTCGCGGGTGAGCCAGCCAGGGACGGCGTGCGTGAGTATCTCGGCGGCGTGCTGTAGACAGCATCAGGAGTGGCTGCCGTTGCGCTGGGGGGCAGTCCAAGAAGCTTGCGCTGGGCAGGCGTGAGGGGGATGTCGGCAAGATCGTCGGCAGGACGGAACAACGGAAGCATAGCCATGCCGATGTTTACGAGAGGAAAGAGCTGGATCGCGTAGTACGCCCAGCCAAGGTACGATCGCAGAGAAGGATTGACCCTATTATCTGTTAAGAGGACGGCGAGACATTCAGGGCAAAGTCAAACATACCAGGAAGTAGGGACATATGATCGTGCGACGACCTGAGAAAGCCACAGACCGAGGAGAAAGGCAATGTTGTACGCGATCTTCCTCACGTTCTTCTCGGAGAAGGTGGTCGCATTGCGTCGTCTCGTGATCTCGTTCAGACGAGGATGTCTCCAGGTACCCGGGCTGTCAACAACAGCGGCGGTCTTCTGTGGTGTCGACCTGACGGGCGTGGTCACGGCGGACCTGCTCACGGAGGACGACATTTTGGGTGCTGTGTTGGGTATCGAGGGTATCGAAGTTGGAGTCACGAAGTCGAGGTCGATGTACGGCGTCAGGGTCAGGGCCTGTTCTGAACCACGTCAGTCATGCTTGAGATTTGCGCACCCGCCCGGGTGGGGACAACTTACCGAATCGTTTCTTTTGAAAACCTGTGGTGTGTTAGTAAGTTGTCGTTTCCGACGCTGCGCTGTCGCCAAGCGCGAGCGTGGTTCAGTGCGCCGCTTCTGTGGTCGAGTTGACGATGTTGATGGATATGGCAGATGCAGGTCGCAGTGTGTCTCGCCAGAAATGGCTGGCAGAAAAACAATGCACCAGCCACACGGGCCACAGCAACCGGCAGAAAGCGGTCAGTCGCACTCTGGCTAGGTAAAGTGGGTACCTGCCTTCAGCTGCGAGCTTCCCGACGTGGGGCGGGTGGCGCTCAGATTCCACAGGCGCCGGCACGGAGCTGTTGAAGGAACCCGCAGGCACTTTAGACCAGGTACGTACCTGTTTTAGCTGCGGAAAGGCGTGGAAGTTCCCCCAAACCCCGGGAATTGGCAGGCCGCGGATTGCGTACTTAGTTGTATGGGTAAGTAAAACCCCCAGCCACGTATCGTGGGGACTGACGGTCCCACAGGGAGCTCTGGAATAACTGCTGAATGGCCCGTCTTTTGCCTGCGATCGATGTACCGCACCTGGTCTGCTTGAGCCACAAATACCTGCACAGGGGGTAAAACTTTGGCCTGATACCGCAGTAGGTAGCAACACCACAGGGCAAGCAGAGCGCCTCACGGTCCCTGAAGTACCTACCCGACCTTACCTTGGGGCCTTGAGGGTCCTTCCCGTGCAGCTCACCCAGGAACCTCTGTGGAAAGTCAGCCCAGCACAGCCGGGGGGTATGTCAGGATCCCCGCCGAGAACTGCCAGCGCAGCCCACCTCACACGACGAAACCTCCGAGCTCGAGCTCCGGCACTGCCTCATGCTTTTTCCTCTTGTTAAACCCTCCGAGCTTTCCATGCCGGCCACGTAAAGCAATCGGTCAACTTGCTCCCTCTTCCGAACCCATCCATTCCGCACTACCGACACCGGCGACTCGAGTCTGACTTCACGATCCCGCCGCCCACCATGGGGTTCTTTGACAACGTCATGCTCCAGATGGACGAGGGCGTTTCCGGTTTCTTCGGACAATGGAACAACTACACCACCGCCATTGTCACCCTGCTCGTTGTCATCGTTTCCTATCGAATTGCATCTAGCCAAGACCCCGATACCCATCCTATGCTCCTCGCCCGTCAGGCCCAGGGCTCACCAGTTCGACAAAAAGGAGAATCGCCCGTCTATCGATCCCACTCCTCCCCTCATGGCATGCCCCTGAACAGCGGACTCAACGTCAAGGACCCCGGTGCTTCCAAATGGTCGAGAGGACGCGACGGAGATCTCAGGGATATATGGAGAAAGGTTGTGGCTGGCGCAACTGGCGATGATGGCAAGGGTGTCATGGGAAAGGGCAGACTGCTGACAGTCTTGGGCTCCGAGAACGTTATTGAGCACAAGTTGGGTGAGTTTTATAGGCATTCATATCCACTGTTGGTTCTGACAATCATCAGAGGACATCACTCGGCAGATTAACCTCATCGGACAGCACATCCACGAGCAAGGTGGTATCCGCGTTGCCATTTACTTGCCAAACTCTATTGAGGTCCTGGTTGCCCTGTTTGCCTGCAGCTTCTATCCCAATCTCACGGCCATTCTGATTCCGTTCGACGTGTCCACGGAAGAGCTCACCATGATGCTCCGTCGATCTGCCGCAGACACTGTCATCACGGCTCCCGGCGCGTTCCCTTTTGAACCTGTCGTCAAGGCGTATCCCTCCCTGCGCCAGCTGATCTGGGTTGTTGATGAGGGAAGCAGCCACATGGACTGGAACGAGGTGCCCGAGGGTACTGGTGGCAGTGTCAATGTCGCGACTTGGCAAGACATCATTCGCGACGCCCCTGCTGAAGCTGGAAGAGAATTGCCTGCTCCGAACAAGGAGGATGAACCCAGGGAGGTCATTACCTTCTGGCAGACGAAGCCCGGCACCATGGAAGAGATGGTTCGTTTCACTCAGGCCAACTTGGTTTCCGGAGTTGCTGGTCAGCTTGCTGCGGTTCCCTCAACCCAGCGCCTCAGCCCTTCTGACCTGTTCCTTGCGGCCGACTCTTTGACAAACACCCACACCCTCATCTTGACACTCGCGGCTTTATACTGCAACTCCTCTGTTGCCTTCAACTCGGTTGCTGGACGCTCACCTGACTTGGTTCTCGCCACCCAAGGAGTGGCCCCCACAGTGCTTGTGGCCACGCCAGAGACTCTGTTGAGGACACACCAGGAGGCTACTAACCGCTTGACATCTGCCATCGCTAAGGTTGCTCATTGGGCCCAATCCCGCTCTTTGACAGAAAGTGGCGTGATGCCCGTTGCCTCTGCGGCCTCCCGATTCAACAGCTCATCGCGGCCGGCAATTGGAACCACGCCGGGCAAGTTGCGTCTCGTTTACGTTGCTGACAGAGCTGGCGCTGATTCCCCGCCTCTGTCTTCTCGGATTCTCTCTGACCTTCGTGTCTTCTTGGGCGCCAGGATCATTTACGCTCTTGCGGCCCCAAAGGTTGCTGGCTCCGTTGCGCAGACTGGCTACTACGACTACAGAGTTCATGACGATGAGCGGTCGCACTTCGGTGCGCCTGTCACGAGTACGGAGATTCTGCTGAGAGACACGGAGAAGTACAAGAATGCGGACTCGGATTATAAGGGAGAGGTGAGGAAACCATTGCATTGACGCTGCTGGATATAGCTAACAACCGTCGCAGATCATAGTTAGAGGCCCTTGCGTTGCAGGCAATGAGGCTTGTATAAAGATTGCAGGCCAGATTCGGGACGACAACACCCTGGCATACGCCTGAGATGTGTACTTATCTCACTCAGCTGAGCCATGAAGGATGGATTAGAGGCAACGGCCGGCTCCTTCCCCAAGTGTAGTTTCAGATGACCTGCTCCTTTAGAATATAGTTTTGCAAATCTGTATGGTCATCGCGTTGTGCCACTTCCAAAGCAAGGCTGTCTCATTCGAGCAGTACCCTTCGAGTTTGCTAGCTACGCCAGCGGGCTGCCGCCCGAGACTGACACACATGCGTGCCGTTCATCAAGCAGGGTTTCCCAGTCTCTAGGCGACGACACTAATGCGTCCAGTTGAACTACAAATGTAGATCACATTCATCAAAAGTCAGGACGTGCAGGCTCGACGATGAAGGTATTTTGATTATTCAAAGCTAATGACTCCAACTGGCGATGAGCCTTCCGTGTCTATATCCTTACGTTGCCTAACTCTATTTTGACTGTATCAAATTTATGTCACAAAATCGGGTTTATTTCTTCGCCGGCTCCGTGATTGCACATTTCATGAGTACCTCCTAATGATCGACTTCTCAACGTCTTTCCAAGGTTGCGTGGAGGACGTGCTGCCGCATCAACGAAATGCAGACGAGAGCCACAAGTGACATGCCCAGCATCGTGTACCAGACGCTCTGGAAGGCCTCCATGAAGGAGTCGGTGACGCCGGGCTGCCAGCCAGGGGGCAGGTGCTTGAGCTCGTCGAGATCGTCTCTGATGCGTCCGATGATCTCGGCTGCGTTGGGATAGTCGCCGAAGCGTTCCCACAGACGGCTCTTGAGCACGTTTTGGTAGACGGCGGAGCCGATGGTGATGCCGACGGTGCCACCGAGACTGCGGGCCAGATCTGAGGTTTGTTAGTATTGAGAGATGCTGAAATACGGTTGGGATAAGCTCACACGTTGCCGAGGTGATGACGGCTTGCTGGGAGTGATCGACTGCGGAGATGCACCCGAGCAGCGTGATGGTCAGCATGGCGCCGTAGCCGCCGCCCGCGAAGAAGAAGACGAGGTAGTTGACCCAGGCGGGCGTGTGCTCGTCGAACTGCGTGAGGATGACGATGCCGGTGTTGAAGATGACCAGGGCGCAGATGCCCGGGACGACGTACTTGCCGGTCTTCTTCATGATGTAGCCCGCGCCGATGGACATGATGGACACGCCGAGCGGGGACGTCAGGATGCGCAGGCCGGCGTCCGTGGCCGAGAGCCCGGTGACCTGCAGGTACAGGGGCACGTAGAAGAGGGCCATCATCATGACCATGGTGCAGAGCAGGTTGGTCAGGCACGCGGAGAGGATGGTGCGGTTGGCGAGCAGGCGGACGGGGATGATGGGCTGCTTGACCTTTGTCTCCCAGAAGAGGAACGCGCCGAAAGCCAGGAAGGAGAGCGGGATGGTTGTAAGGGGCAGGGGGTGTACCCAGGGCACGAGGTTGCCGCCCGCGTTCAGCCCGAGGAGCAGCAGCACGAGGAAGGATATCGTGAGGAAGACGCCGCCAAAGTCGATTCTCGCGAGGTAGGACTTGTCCGATGCCTTGGGGGGCACCTTGACCAGGACAGCCACAAGGACGGCCGACACCAGGACCGGCGGGACCTGGACCAGGAAAGCGAGCCGCCAGCCCCAGGCCGTGTGGTCGTTGATGAGGCCGCCAAACACGCCGCCGAGCATGGCGCCCGAGCCGTAGGCGATGTTGCCGATGCCCTGGAAGATGCCGCGCCTCCTCAGCGGGATGAGGTCGGAGCCGAGGAAGGTCGAGATGGACATGAGCCCGCCGCCGCCGATGCCGGCCACGACGCGGCCGAAGATGATGGCGGACTGCGTCTGCGCGAGGCCGCAGATGAGGTTCCCGGCGGCGAAGAAGATGTTGCTGAAGACCAGGCCCGGGCCGCGGCCGAAGATGTCGGTCAGGCGGCCGGAGATGGGCTGGCAGGCGGCATTGGAGATGAGGTAGGCTGTCGCGAGCCAGCTGAGGAGGCTCAGGGACTTGAACTCGCTTGAGATGGGCCCGGAGAGGGTTGCGATGATCTACGGGGATGGCTTTGTCAGACTGCCTGCTGCTGCAGAACCCACAACGTGGAAGTGTGGTGAACGACTCACGGTGCTATCGATGGCGCCAAGAAACACGCCAAAGTACGAGGTTCCCAAGATGAGAGCCAGACGGCCGTTGGAGACGGTCTCGGCGATGACGGTGGTCTCTTCATCGTTGGCGGCGGCGGCTGTAGCAGCAATACCGCGAACGCC